TGTCTAATCCAATCGCAACAATAGCAAGATATTCCTTTCACTATATTTTCAGTATCTGATACAATACAATTTCAGATTCTGCAGTGTTGGTATTACCGACTATGTCGCTGAGATGGCCTCAAGTGTCATGATGTATATCCCAGTTTTCAAGGAGGTGGTTCAGGCATTTAAGGGACATTCAGGTTATTACCTCAACAATCTGAGGTGCTACAGTGTTGGTATTACTGATGAGAGGGAATTATGAGGCGTGCCAACAAAATGTCCTCGGATTTATGAAATATGCGGCTGGGACGGCCTTAGGTGACATGATATCCATACGACATTGCATGACGATCGGTTTAGGCATTCAAGTAACCTTAAAGTCTTTTATGTCAGCAATTTAAGGGGCCTCAATGCTGATATTACTGACAGGTGGATTTATGGAGTATGTTGTTGAGATGGCCTCAGGTAGCCACATATATGTCAAGTTTCATAAAGATCGGTTCAGAAGCTGTTAAGGAACCCATATACAGACACACAAGCTGACAGCAAGCTGATCTTCTAAGCTTGCTTTTAGTTTCAAAATGAGAAAAGTAGACTAAAAGTTGCATGTAAAGAAACTAAAAAGTAAAGGTATCCCTGTAACAGGACGTGGAGGCCCATAGGATTGTGAGTTTTGAGGTTCCCACATTTTCTAGACAATCGCCTCATAGATGGCGGCAAGGCTGTCAGCCCTATGCTCTGTGAATATACCCGAGAATTCCCCACATTTTATAAGACCTAAATGTTCAGTACCATGTTCACAAGAGTCCTCCACTAGGTCCTATACTCAGGCAGCTCAATCTAGTCCATACCACACCATCCTATTTCTCTAAGATCCATTTTAATATTATCCACCAACCTACGTCTTGGTCTTCCTAGTAGTCTCTTTCCTTCTGGCTTTCCCACCAATATCCTATATCCATTCATCTTCTTCCCCATTCATGCTACATGTCCTGCCCATCTCATGCTCCTTGACATCATACTAATCATACTTGGCTAAGAGTACAAGTTATGAAACTCCCCATTATGCAATTTTCTTCAATTTCACTTCATCTCTCTTAGGTCAAAATATTCTCTTAAGTACCCTCAGTATATGTTCATTCCTTAACGCCACAGGCCAAGTTTCACACCCATACAGAATCACAGGCAAAATTATAGTTCTGCATATGCTAAGGTTCATTTAATATAGTAGAATATTGTCATGCGATATCAATGTTATTAACTTCATACAAAATCTTATCCAATATCCTTCTCTCAGACAAAGTCCATATATGAATAATTACTGGGGACCATCAGTGTGGGTTTTGACAGAACAGATCAACCACTGATCAGGTTTTTTACATTCATCAGATACTGGAGTACCATGGGAGTACCATGAGACAGTACATCAGCTATTCATAGACTTCAAGAAAGCCTATGACACAGTTAGGTGGGAAGTATTGTACAAAATTCTCATAGAGTTTTGGGTACACATGAAATGGGTTAGGCTGATTAAAATGTGTTTAAAGAAACGTATAGTAAAGTCCATATAGGTAAACATTTGTCTGATATTTTTCCTACGCAGAATGGTCTAAAACAAAGAGATGTTTTATCACCTCTGCTTTTCAACTTTGCTTTAGAATATGGCATTAGGAAGGCCCAGGAAAACCAGGTGGACTGAAATTAAACAGGACACATCAGCTGTTGGTCTATGCCAATGATGTGAATCTACTGGGTGATAGTATAGATACCATAAAGAAAACACATAAAATTAAATTGGCGCTAGTAAGAAGGTTGGTCTAGAAGTAACACAGAGAAAGCTACGTATATGTTGCTGTGTGGTCACCAGACTGCAGGGCAAAATCATGGCATAAAGATAGGTAACAGATGTTTTGAATGTTTTGAGAATGACTATAACAAATCAAAACCTGATTCAGGAGGAAATAAGAGGAGACTGAACTCAGGTAATGCTTGCTAGCATTCAGTCCAGAACTTTCTGTCTTCTCATCTCCTGTCTTAAAAAAAAATTAAAAACTACAAAAATATAATTATGTCTGTGGTTCTGTATGGGTGTGAAACTTGGTCTCCGACTTTAAGGGTGGAACATAGACTGAGGGTGTTTGAGAACAGTGTGTTGAAGAGAATATTTGGACCAAAGAGGGATGAAATGATGGGGTTTGGAGAAAACTGCATAATGAGGAGCTTCATAACTTGAGCTATCCTCCAAGTATTATTAGAATGAAGAAGTAAAGAGAATGAGATGGGCAGGACATGTAGCACGAATGGGGAGAAGAGGAATGAGTATAGGCTATTGGTGGAAAAGCCGGATGGAAAGAGACCAATAGGAAGACCAAGATGTAGGTGGGTAAATAATATTAAAATGGATCTTAGAGAAATAGGATGGGATGGTATGGATTGGATTCATTGGGCTCTGGATGGGGACCGGTGAAGGGCTCTTGTAAACACGGTAATGAGCCTTCGTGTTCCATAAAGTGCTGGGAAGTTCTTGAGTAGCTGCACAATTGGCAGCTTCTCAAGAATGGCTCAGTTCCATGAATTTGTGATTATTATTATTATTATTATTATTGGTAAGAACATACTACTTAATGTAATTGTCCAGTTTATGTGATGGTCAATTGATGTTTTGTGTATGGTTAGGGTTCTGTGAAATTCCTCACTTTCTTCTCACAATTTTAGATTCTCCCCCTGATACACACAGCAAGTGGCTTGGGTCAAGCTCGAAGCCAGCTGCCCATTCATAAATCAGCCAATTTAATGCGTGACACAAGGCCGAGTTCTTTAGAAATTCTAAACTTGACAGGGGAAGTCATAATTTTAGCAGCGTCGTTTCCTGCTACCCCAAAATCTCAGTTTGACAGCCACGCAGCAGGTGGCAAAGTTCACCCCTAAACTTTACACTCGTGGATATTCGATTTTCTAATTGGAGGAGAAAGATAAGCAACCTCCCAGTCTGCCCAGTCCAGCCAATCATCATCTGAAGTGGGAGGTCCTTTGCCCGAATTTTGGGTAACCAGGGCAAATATTTACCATTCAGAGGGTGCTTGGCAAGGACTCTCTGAAATTTACATTCACCGGAGGTACGTGTGTTCTGATCCCCGTAAATAGAGCCTGTGGTGACTATTAACGTGTGTATCTTAGTAAACATTAAGGAAGCTACATCCACTAATCTGCGAAGTGTGTCACTACGGTGCAGTTACCATTTATATAGTGCTGACTGAATAAAAACTTAAACAGTTAATTGGTGTTGAGTGTGACTTTCCTGAGCCTAATGCCCTACTAATCACCCAAGTCGTGGCCAGTCAACACGGCCTGAGAGGAGTCGAATTTCTCTACCGGATCTAGTAGAACCAAAGAACGGTTACATTAAGTATGCCTGCAGATTTTTTCTGCAATATGCCTGTCGAACATAGCTTCAAAATTTGTAATTTTGACTGTTGAACAATATTTTATGCAGAATTTTGACATGTGTTTATGGTATGTTATATATATAGTATGATATGGGAAGGTCGCGGGTTCAAGTCCCGATGAGGTCACTGGATTTTTTTCAGTTGACCTAATCTTTCCAGCCACACTATGGCCCTGGGGTCGACTCAAGCCTCTAACAGAAATGCGTACCAGGAATTAATTAAATAATTTTCTTGGGAAGTGAAGCCTACGTGTATGGCTGACAACCTTGCCGTCATCTTTGAGCCGATTATCTAAATAATGTGGGACCCTCAACGTCTCACAACCCTATGGGCCTTCACGGCCAGGTACAGGGATAGCTTTACTTTTAATTTTATGATATGATATATGACATCACATTACATGACATGATATGATATACTATTACATTTCATGTTCCTAGTTCCAGTGGTTCATTAATTATAGTAATCTAATCAAAGACCAAGTAGGATACAGATTCTCTGTTTCAGCCATTTTGTTATGTTATATTCTACAACAGAAACACCCACTCAAAAGTTTCGTGATTTCCGAAAATCTTCGAATTACCACACACAGGACCCTATATTAAGTGTAACTAGTGTGGTTACGACCACATAAGTTTGGGTGTCCTCCACATAGTTACTGCAGAGTCCAGAGTTAACAAGTACAAGGCTGAGTGAACTTGGATGTAAAAACGTTCGCACTGAGCTAAATTACAATCAATCAATTGATTCAAGAGTTTAAAGGAAGGCACACACAGACAGCATGGTAATTTAATTTTCTTCAGACTGAAAATGTTTCTATCAAAGCCTACAGAACATAAGATAAATGTTTCAGAACCTATACATATAGCTAAACAACTACCAATTTTTAAATGTTTGATGAACTTTGTTCCAGAGTAAAAACTCTTTGAATGGAAACTCTAAAATACGTGTACATAACGCAGAGAAAAAGAATGATCAGTTCAGAATTAAAAAAAAACTATGCATAAAAATAGTTATCTTAATATATTCACTTACTTTTTCTTACACTGCAAGATAATCCATGGAACTCCGTATTCTAGTGTTTATCAAAGCACTGTTGCTTTAGTTTGACACTGCTGGTAACTAATGGCACTGAGGACAACACACCCAATAGTTTATGAATTGTTGCAGATTAGGAACATTGTAATTGATACTTTACTTTAAAGATCTTTCGTATAATTCTAAAAGCTAGAAAATATAGTCAGTTTTCACTTTGAACACGAATATAACAGTACTAATACATATGCAACAGTTCATGCTTAGGCACAAAAGATCACTGTGATCGCGGGGCGAGGGCCAAGAAGGCCCACTCCGTATACATTCATTCAACGGTTCATGTATTAGTTTTCGCGGTCGTTACTATCGTACTTTCGAGCTTCGAGCACAAATACGAATAAATCTATCGAGTACAACGAGTATCGAGTGATCGCTGTAAATGATGTGAAATGTCGAGACATCTTTCAGTGAAATAGGTGAACTATATGCCAAACCAATGTGACCAACATTAAGAACATATTAAGAATATGAAATTTGTAATGTGTTTATTATTGTATATGTCCTTACGTTATGCAGAACTATGTAATAAATTCAAGAAGTGTTTGAAATATTCAGATTATACGTTTATTTGTTTCAGAATTTAACGGAGAGTTTATATCATGTTTGGGTTAATAACGTTTACCGCTCTGTAGCCAAATTTTCGGCGTTATCATTTTCTACTGTATATTTGAACACGTGTTTGTTCCGCGTAGGTTATAGTAGTAATATAAGAGGGTGTTCTGTGGTGTAAAGTATGGATGGTATGTTGAGTTTGTTTGAAACAGTTGCTCACTCCAACTGTGATGAGGTACTTATGCAGACATTTTTGAAAACATGCACAGAACATCAGGCATTTGTAAATAAGGTAACTTCACTCCTCAATACGTCTTTATATATTTTGATTCAGCACAAGTACAATACTGTCTTTACCCTTATCAGGTGTAATTTTGAATATGGATGTTATTTATACAATTCTTCAAAGGTACCGTAATACAATGATATGTGCACTTGTATGTCCTCAGAAATATAGCAGCAGTTACAGTTTAATTTAATTTCAGTGCCTAAGGATTTTAGTGTAATACAAGAACATATACAGAGTTTCATTTTGGGATAATAAAATTCACCGGCAATTACAGTACTGTAAAATGTACTGCATTTCTGAGCAGGAACATTTTAAATGCACTTCTTATTCTGAAGGTATTCCTGATCAGGATTGGCCTACCAGCTATGCTCAGATACTATGAATAATACCTGCAATTCCATTTTTCAGGCTCCTGTCATCTTACAGTCAGTAGTTGCAAATATCAATGGCAAATTAAATTCCACAGCTACCAGGTAAACATTTTATGTCTTGCATGCATCTTGTATTTTCATAAGAGTGTGTATGCTAAAGGATTTTTTCAAGAAACAACTGTGTAATATTGTGACCACTTAGAACCATTGTGGAATTTAAGCTCCCTAAATATAACTTGGTTAGGAACAGATTTTTAAGTGTTAAAAAATTAGGAAATTTTTTTTTGCCTTAAAAAGTAAAAAGTATGCTCTAGAAAGTCAAAAGTATTTTATAAAGATATATTGTCACGTGTTGGGTGTATAACATGACAAATAACTTCACGCCTTATTGGATATAGCGAATTTTATTCCACACTCGCTCATACAATCACAAAGTTTACAGTCTCACAACTACTGTTATCTGCAGTATTACAAATACCAGACTGCATACTCTTCCCTGGCCAACTCGTAACTAACTTGAATAGTCTTCACTGCTCCTTATTTAGCCCCGTTCCGGACAATGCAGAAAACAGCCACGTACTAGGCACCACTGTTGTCTGGCGCCATGTTGCTAGCAATGCTGTCAGGAGTTGTTTACGGCTGCATAGCAACCGCGGCATCCCTTGGTCACGTCACCGCTGGCGGGGTAAGGGAAGGAGTGTTGACTTGCCCATTACCCTAGTAAAGACAGCGCTCCGATGGTGATATGTCACCGCTGCCGGGGGGAGGGGTGTCATGCATAGCGCAGCACGTCACAATATGCTTAATTACATAAAGTGCTCACCAAAAGTCATCAGTATCTGAAACAGAAAATGAAGCACTGTTTCAGTGAGCCAGAGAAGTCATCTTTAAGATGTGTATGATAAGTGTATGTTGGTTATCGAAGAAGACTCATTTTCATTAAGAAAATGTAGTTCCACATCACATGATACCAGACTTTCATACTTGTAACACAATGTCACTAACACTCAAGACTTTCAAGTCTTCGGAATCAACGTGGTTGTCCTCCTCAAATTCATGTTAAATCTTACTACAGCTTAAAACCCTTTATTCTCACTGAAACATGGGCAGAATTTTTGTTTTGCTGCAACAGCTTCTAAGCCATTGATTTGGTTAAGTTTATCTTGACTTTTGTGAATTTCTTTCATTGTTTCTGGCAACAAATTTGTGGTCTTTTTTCCTTTGTTATAAACTGACAGAAAACTGAAATTTGCATGAATGTAGACCATGTCAGGAGTCTTTAAGAATTTTATGCGTGTTTGGATAAAGCACGTGAGTTGTTCTGTAGACACTGTAGAAAACCTGTGCTACACATGTAGCATGTATTTTTTAGGGTAGTTCACTGAAAGCCCTGCTGCTGTTTTCATGTACAATATGACATCTGGAAATAGCAGCAACACATTAAGTTTCACATAATCTTCATAGCTTTATTGCGTGCATCCTCTTGTGCATTATGATGTGTTTTTTTTTTTTTTTGGCTGTCAACACAACAAAGTTATCAAAAATTAAACCACTCTAATATCACTGTGTTACATTAGTTTTTATTAGTGACTGCTTCATGTTTTGGTCCATATTTGGATCATCATCGGGCAGTGTTCTTGAATAATTCATTCATTGCTGAATTATCATAATATGGATTCATATTAGTGTTACCTGTTAAAATCATTATGATACATGTAATGTTGGCTAAAGTTTGTTATTATTATTATATTTTTGTCCTTTTGTTACAGAGCTAGTTTCCATGTTTCTTGTGTATTGTAGATGATGGCATCTCCCAGAATTCATTATGTTTTACATATGTCATTATAATAAATTTATTTAGGTACTGCTTATATGCTCTTCTCAGAAACAAAGCAGTTGGATTGAGCCCTTCGAGAAAACTGTGCCTGAAAGTAATATTGCGAGCTTTTTATGCTGCTTATGTTATACGTGAAAGTTACATCTTTCTGTTACAGGTATGATGGCCTGCTTTTGCTAAAAACATTCTTGCCACAATGTCCAGTAGAAATATTTGGAAAGAATGTGATTTCCTGGATGCAGCAATGCATAAAAAGTGTAGATGGAAAACAAAATAAACATGCATTGGCCAGTACTTCATATCAAGTTCTTAGTAAGAAAACTATATAAACTTTTTAATATTCTTGTCTCAGCAGAAATTATTGTACATGAACTTCTGTGAAATTGTTACCTTCTCATGATGAAAGTCTATAGCACACTGTACTAATACAGTAACTGCTATAGGAGCTGCTATTTCTGGTGATCATTTCATTTTCTGTTTTTCTTTCAGAAACTCTGTTGCAAATGTCACAGCAAATGCCAGAACTGAAGAGAACTGTGAGTGGATTTGTGGTGCCAAAGATAATTGATACTTTCCAACGGATTGCTCCTGTAGAGGTATTCATGGAGTTTCATTAGTTTCTTACTGTACATTAGCAACAACTCGAGTCTGGAGTGTTACAAAGCATAGTCATATGGAGTATCTCCTTCATTCATGGTCTATGGTGACAGAAGGCATCATTATCCATTATGTTTGCTGGCATGTTAGCATATTTGTTGTTCTTGGAATGCATTAGAAGTAAGATTGAATGCCATAATAAATAAACAACTTTAGTCATGTGTTTGTAGTAGGAGGGGTTCTGAGGGAGAAAGGTAGACCACCCTCAGAAGGTTTGAAAACTAGCAATTGTATTATGTTTAAATACAGCAGGCATGTCCAACGCGTCGATTGCAATTGACCGGTTGATCGCGGGATGATTTTTGGTCGATCTCATAGGCCTATAAGGAAATTATACATGAAAAGTATGTAAATTCACTTGTAATATAATATGATTATATTCAGATTCTGAAGGGAAAATATGTATTAAAGTAGTCTGTACTTTCAATGTATGTTGCTTTTACAACAAATGTATTGTTTTATTTTTACCAATATTTTTGCTTAAAGCGAGGTACAACGATAGGAGGGGGTGGTAGATCACTGGCAGTTTTGACACTAAAAAGTCAGTCACAACATGTTTGAAGTTGGACATGCCTGAAATGTAGTAATAAATACAAAACAATTTACAAGTGAACAGTTCAATCTGCTGGGATGTAGGCTGTGTTGTCAACGAACGTTTTAGAGGAACATGTTGCCTCCATCTTCAGGTTTGAAATGTAAGCTTAGCTTCAACTACATGACATTATATCCCAGAAGATAGAACTCTTCACATCCTACAGTTTACACATATTTCAGAGGGCTGAAATAGTTACTGAATCTGAGTTCGTTCTGGAAAGCGATTCTTATGAAAAAGTCTCCTCTGACAGTGAAAATGACCTTAATTTTAACAGTAATTCAAATGGAAACCAAGGAAAAATTTAGTTAAGTTACAGCTACTTGACAGTAACAATGGAAGCTCACAACTTCCTTGTCTAGCCAGATTTTACAGTCCATCTGAACATTTAGCTGTGACACAAAGTAATAATAAGAGTGAGTTATTGTCAAGCAGTACATTTTCAGGAAAGATTTGCAAACTGCATAACCTGACTAAATATGCTTCTGAAAAAGTGTGAAAAATGCAACACAGATGATGACATCTATACAAGCAACAGGAAGAAGTCTTGTCTGTGATAGTAGAAGGAGTAAACTATAAACTTTACAGGGACAATTTTTTTTCCTCTCCAGATTAATTTGATGACATATGTAGCATTTAGATCTCCTGTTCCCAAATGATAAACAAACTTGCTCTCTTAGTCTGTCTTGGGGAGATCATTATTTTTAATATATGGCTTTTTTACAGGTGTCATTGTCAATGCTTGAATGTTTAGGAGTGCTGATGTATAATTATGGTCCATCATGTGGACAGCATAAGGTAAAGTAATAGAAATCAGCTTCATGGAATAGAGTTCTTCTTGAGAGAGATTCATATTTGCTCAGCTAGTCAAAAGATTTCCTGCATTTTATGAAATTTAGATGGTCATTACTGTGTTCACATGAGTGTTCACACTGAACAGTGTCTTGGGCCAGTTGAATTCATTCTGCACCCTCAGATCTTACTTATTTCCTTAAAATATTTCTTAATATTATTCTCCTACATGCATCTGTAGTTGTATTACAATTTGTTATTTATATTAAAGGTGCAGTCATACCTTGACATTCAACTTCTTTGTTCTGATTCTGAATTTCAGACTTAAGCCAAAATTTACTAATGATCCCCCCCTTGTAACTGGTCCATCACATTCTGTTTTCAGGTCAGCTGAGTCAGCATGGGGACAGAGTGTCAGTTGACACCCATCAGTTGCTTGCATTGCATTTGTTATGCCTCTCTAGAGGCCCTTCAGTGATTTTGGTTGTTTGTAGAATATTTTGTGACTTCAGTGTGGTATATTCCTTTCATTCGTTGTTAATAATGGCAGAAAAAGGGAAAATGGTCTTTGTGATGTAGCCGATACTAAACAACATAGTATCTACGTTGGAAGTGAAGCATGGTGTGATTAAATCCCATGAAAAGAGTGATGAACCTAAAACAATTAATCATGCTCTCAGTCTTCAGCAGTTGGCTATTTTAAGCATTTTGAAGGGCAAAGGAAAGATCATCGAACGTCTTAAGGTGCAGCTTTCTATGAACTGCACTATTATAATGAAGAAATGCGGTTCATATGTGTTCGAAGTTGAGAAACCCATCAAGGTTGACGGGACTTGACACCATGTGTCGCTAAGGCAAGCTCTGAAGGCCCTGAAGCTTTGTGAACATCTGAAGCAACAACATCTAGAAGGGGCAGTTGCTCAGATATTTATAATGTACAGTGGTTTGATTTGGTTCATCCTGGTCAGTCACACTAGCAATATTATAAAGGTTAATTAACACCGTCCAGTGTGACTGATAAAATGTTTTTTTTTTCTTTTTAATCTTTTATCCTTGAGATGTTTCGGTCTTATAGACCATCTTCAGAAGGATAGCAATACAATTAGAAACCACTATTACATTGTGTTTTGTGAATATTAATATATACATACAATGTTATCATAATACAATGAATACAAAATATAATATTTTAGCAACTACAGTGGCGTGTACTAACACGTTAAAATATTTATAATTTACAATTAGTATGTTTAAAAAGATCTTGTTAATTTTTTGAACCAAATTGGTTCGTGTCCTTTTTATTTCTTCTCTTTGACGCTTGACTTCCTTCAGTGCTATGGTTGGCTTTTTGATGATGCCCATATTTAGAATACAGGCCAGGAATCCTTTCATCTCGTGCATGGTAATTCTGGTCCATTTCTTTAGTGGAGTGGAAACATTACCCACTTTACTGCTAATCACTTGCTGCACATATCTGCTGGATTATGTGACCATGAAGGTAAGAAACAAGTCTGTCAAGAAGAGATGGAAGTAATCAGGAGGAGGCATATGCTTAGGTGCAAACAATTCTTTGAATTGGAAAGGAAGAGGGAGAGGTTGCTCAGATAACAGAATTTACTTGTAGTCTTCATTATCCATTTCATCCGCTTCACTTTCAGTCACTGGGTGAGCAGCTGGGGGTGTGGCATGTGGGGTATCTTCTTCAGTTGTGTCATCAGTGTCACTTTCCAGAATAAAGTCACAGTCACGGTCAACTGTATCTAAACATTCCAGCATGTCAAAAGTCATCAAACCAAGAGCTTGAACCTGCCATTGTCTAGTTAAAAATTGGAAATAATTAACAATATATACTGTAAACTCTGAAAAATGCAATGAAAATGTGATAAATAATATATAACTTTATTGTGAAAACAAAATACCATCACTAAACTATTATATATTCACAGTAAAACAACTAAAAACACTGACCAAGAAAGCATTGAACCACCAAGTAAACATGTGAGCTCAGCATATTTCATTTGTTTCAAAAAATATTTTTTTTAAGCAAAGGGATGCCATATGGGTGCAAAACTGTGAAATAGACCTTGGAGATTTTTTCTGTTTTTTAAAAAATAAATGTCTATACAAAAGTGTCATGCTGAGTGTATAAGAGTTAGAAAGGAGTACTGATCAGTGGTCAGTTCTGCAGACAGCTGTTGTATCAGGTAATAACAATATTAAATATGATTATTTCATTGCAGAATATGCTGGAGAAGTGTGTGCTGCAGTATGTAGATAGTAGTGATGTTAATGTAATTAAGAGAGTTGCTCACTGTGTGGCATTCCTTCCTCTCCTTGGTGGTGGTGGTTCGCTGGGAGCCAATCATGTGTCACAATGGAAGGAAGAACATCAGAAAGTGTGTGCAACACTTCATTATATTCTGGATGAGCTGTTTGATGGTGTCAGAGAAATACAGGTATGATTAACATATTTTTAGAAAATTGAAATGTACCCTTCCATTTCAGAAATAAGTCTGTAATTATTTTTTTTTATTGCTAGTGGGGTGGGACTATGTCCCTTGTACTGTGGCCACTTCTGGCCTATTGTACCAGCCCCAGATGATAGGTGAGGGTGATTGTGGAGCAATAGGTGGAATGAAGAGTGGCAGGGGAAACCGAAGTACTCTGAGAAAACCTGCCCCAGTGCCACTTTGTCCACCACAAATCCCACTTGATCGAACCCGGGCCACTGCAGTGGGAAGCCAGCGACTAACCGTTTGAGCTATGATGCAGTCAATATAGTCTTTAATTAACATCTATACTGCTGTTTGTGTTTTTTCAGAACTCCCACAGCTCTGTGACATCAGATCGGATGTTGTCTCTTCCACCCACCTCAGCGACTGTACCACTGCCAAGAGTTTATCAGCTGATGAATAGATTTATGAATGTTTCAAAATTCCTGCAAGCAATGCTTCTGTAAGTAGCTGCTATAGAGAATTGGACAAATAAATATAACTTGTAATATATGAGGTCCAACCCAGAAATTTTGAGACAGCAGAGAAAAGTAAAAAATAGTATAAATAACTCCTGATTTTGCCCTCTGTTTCTCATTACTTCCCTCTACCTTCTGTTGGTTCACTCAGAGCCGTCGCTTCTCCCATTCCCTCTGCCAATGGAAAATGGCCCCTTAAAGGATTAGTTGTCTTTACAGTGTTTGCCTTACTCTTCCTAGTTCAACCCAGAGTCTGGTCATGACTCTCTCTCTATCCCAATATTGGTAGCATTTTTTCCACACCCAGCTTACTCTTCTAACCTGAAGGTGGATGCAGCAGGTTCCTCTGGAACATTTGTCTCACTCTACCAAACTGCTTAGCCCTGCATCCAAAATCATAATCTTGAGATTTACAAGTGCAAGAAATAAAAATTGGACTCAACAGAATTTGATCATATGACCATTTGTATAAGAGTCCATCACAATAACCCATGAGCTAAATTGAATTTTATTGTTGGGTTATAAATTTACACCAATCTAAACAAAACATAAATGACACTAGATTGCCCCCCCTCCAAACAGGAAAACAGCCTTTATGAGTTCTGCTTATAACTCCTTGTCTTATTTTATATCCTCCACATTTTGCAACCAAATTTCAAGACCTTTGTAGATGTTTCATTTTACAGTGAAGGGTTGCATCCTTATACTCAACCCTGAATATTTGCTGGTATCCCCCGTATTGGATGACATGCTATAGTGACACAGTAACCACTTGACAGGGACTGAACATGTAGCTTGGATGGAAGAGACAGGGTATTCATAAGTGGGTAAATCTCTTGCAAAATGGCCACATGCGAAACTGAAATAAGATTGAATGGTTTTACCTGTCTTAAGATAGGTTCAAATTATGGGCTGTAGTGAACACAATAATGTACCTTCAAGTTCCATAAAAGGTGTGGAATTTCTTGATCTCAGTTCCTCCAGAAGGATTCTGCTGCATGAAATTTGTGGACCAAAGGCAATATCTTCACAGTGAATTGTTTTCTGTACATTGTATAATGCTGAATATTCTGTCTATTCAGAATAAGATGATTTTTTTATTTTAAGAAGCAACATTCACAAATGGGATTATAATTCCTTTTTATGAACTATATTGTGGCGTGTCACCAAGAAGCCAGGCCACAAGACGTCCACTGATAGGCAACGGCTGTGATAAGAATGTATACTTCAGTGCAAACGCAATGCCAGCAGACCATTGCATAGGGAACACCCAAACAACAAATGTGTTTCCCAGGAAATGAAAGGATATCCATGGAGACGAATACTACCAGCGGATAAAACGGAACCCTTGAACACAATGTTCACTATTCAGTCTGAGTGCACCATCAGTTGCAATGTGACTTTGACTTTGACTTGACCAGTCAGTTTCAGTTTTAGTGTAGCTCCGACTAGAGCAGACGCAAGCTCGCATCCAACAAATGACAGAAGACACTTCACCAAGATCAGCATTTTAAGTAATTGTGACAGTGAAGTTGTGAATAATTATACTTGCGAGTGTGAAAGAGATTGTCCAATAAACATCTTAATCAAATCTGAGACCCGCGTGAATTTACTTGTCACGTTACATAGGCAACACGCTACAATATGTTTTGTTCAAATTATGAGTACATTGCATACACACATGCCAAGTGGTATTTTTGTGTAACACATCAGCCAAACTGATTAAGATTTTATATGCACATAGTTATGTTATACACATCTTACACGAGTTTGTTGGAGTCCATGAAGCTCTTTGTGTTTGTCATTGTTTGTCATTATTTTGCGCCATGTAGTATGTTAGTTTTGGCTGAAGAAGCATGGCAGAACTAGATTTTTGCTTTAAATAAAAATTTATTCTGTTATGGTCAGATAATATGGACTATGTACAAAAGAATGTTATGTAACCTCAAAGACAAACTAACCCCTTGTGTACTAGTAACAAATCTGACTCCTGTTACATTGAACCTCAAGAGCTACTCAGAGGTCAGGATATCTGATCTTTTGCAGGTAATCTCTCCTTTTTTGCTATTAAGTACCATTCCATTGTCAGATAAGTTGCCTTTCAGAGGAGGGCTTTAGGTTGTTTACCATAGGCAAAGAATGTGTTGATCATGAAGACAAGGTCCTTACATGAACCATATTACAAAACTAAGACTTTATAGAAACATACAAATGCCACTGACATTGTATAAACATTATTAATATAACACTGTAACAAGATGTTATTTCCACATTGTAAAGGATACTAATTATGATGAAAAATTCATTGCATCTTTACCTCTCAGACTAACTAATTTAAATACCATTCCGTATTTTACACTTTGGTTCACCAAACATAACAGGAAACATCTAATTTTCCTATGTTCTGTTTTGTTAGGCATGGTAGAGTATTAGAAGCTAAGATAAATTTGTATTCCATAATATCTCATTTTTCTTTCTGAAATATAGTTTTACAAAAATATGTCTCCTTTTCTGCAGCTCAGAATTTCCTGTGGAAAAGACAGTACTACCAGGTGAAATATTAGGGATCGTTTGCCGTGGACTTGCAGTCACTAGCCATACAATGGGAAAGAAAGTGTCAGCTGATCTGCTTATGGTTGGTGCCATGTTGCCACAGATTCATATTGCACTGCTGAAGGTGCTGGATTCATTGACTACATGGTCAGTATTTGTAATGAATGTTCACAGTGGCTGGATGAACAGACTGATATTTGGGTAATGATTTTTAAGCTGCACAGTAATTATGGTTTGTGATTCTGGAAGCCAGGAAAGATCACATACCAGTATATACAAGTTTTATAGATCAAGTAATATTCTGACATAACCCATAAAATTTCTATAGAAAAAAATTGTGGTAATATTTAGGATCTTCTGAATCTTCATTCAGCATAACTTGATTGGTTTTGTTAAAATTACAGGCACTGGCAGCCAGCAGTACATTATGGGACTCTACAGCTAATCATGTTAAGATTTTTTATGAAGAGGTTGAAAGTGTATCATTGAGATTTTGCTAACTGTAGGTGAGAGACTGGTAAATCAGCCATATTGAACTGTACCTAGAAGTGGGTAGAGACAGACTACTTAATTTTAGAGCACTTTTTTTTTTAATGTAGCTATTTCCAGTGCCTTTAGGAGCCATAACTTTTGTATATGTTGACTTTTGTTCCCACCAGTGATATAAAATACATTGTAATAATTTCATTTATAATGTGCATTAGTCATTCTTGGGATTTTCTATGGATCTGGAGCATCTTCTTAATTTTGAAAAGGTATGAGTTGTTGGCTCATCCCATATATGAATATGGTACTGTAGCTTAAGTTTCATATTCCATCACATACCTTGGATCATAGCACTAAAATGTGTTACTCTTGGTTGTATTACTTAGCTGTGGAAACAACTTGCTGCCATATGCTCCCATTATCTGCAAGTTGGTGCTCCAGACTCTGAAGTGGACTTCTGCTGAGAAGTGGCCATATGGTATTGAAAAGCCATATGGGTAAGTCAGCTTATGTGTTTCTACATTTTAATTATTACTGGTTTTTGTCTTCTCCATTTTAAAAAAATGTGTGAAACTGTAACAGTGCTCTGCCAGCCAGCATCATAATTAGCATATCATTCTTAATATGTGGAATACTATTCAGTTATTCAGTATAGAGGGGGTGGGTTTCCCCATGCACCGCGACTAATAGTCTGTTGTACGTCCCCTTTAATTTCTACTGTCTCCATACCCTACCGATACTGGTGCCCGCTATCTCCCCTTTCTGCCAGTGAGGTCGGCCCTCTACTGGCAGTGGTACCCGATAACTTCCCCATCTACTGGAGGCATTGGAAACTACTTGGGCGGGAAACATTTGCCTAATTTTGCTCAGAGGTCTCCTAGAGACATGAGGATCTTGTACGTGCCGTAAATCTACGACATGGGACCTACGGCTTAAAGTCCCTCCCGGAGGACTTGTTCCCTGAATTTTTCCGC